CTGCTCCTTACGCTTCTGTGCTTGCTTTTTTCCTTCCCATCAAATACGAAAAAAAAAAGAAATCCAGCCAGTTAATTGGTTTCTGGTACTGGGAAGTGGAAAAAAACCTCCAGGTGGCTCCACGTGAGGTTTGGGCACCAGGAGGGCGAGCAGGGGACGCCGTCACTGCGGGGCTGCTCCCGCTGCCACCTCCAATTTGCTTCCTCCCAGACACCTCCGCTTAACTTTGACACTTGAGGCAGAAACATTGCAGAAATCGAATTAGAGAGCAAACACGGGGTGAAGGGACTGCATGCAGAAAGGCAAGGTATTTTCGGGCAAAAAGGACGGGGCTGGGGCAAAACTGAACTGGCTCCTCTGGCTCCGTGCGCAGCTCCTTGGGGAGGGACTGGGTGCCCGCACGGTGCCTGCCTGCTGCTCTGGCCCCACAGCATCACCAAAAAAAAAAGAAAGGAAAAAGAAAGAAAGAAAAGAAAAAAAGGAAATTCAGGCTGGGTTTCCTTAGCAACGTCACCCTGGCTGGAAGCCTCCCCTTGTGCGTGCCGATGCCCATTTCCCAAAACGTCGGCGCAAAGCGAGGCGGAGCAGCGCTGCGTTTCCACCAGCTGGCAGAGCAAACACCTGCGGCTTCCCCTTGCTGCCCACACGTGCCCGCTGCAAACTTTCAGATGCCCGATGGAAAATGCCTTGGGCTGCAGCTGAAGGCACCAGGGGCACCGTGCACCGGAGACCCCCATGAGCAACATGGATTCGTGGAATCTGGCTGCGGAACCTGGCTCGGTCCCGTCCATCTCCAACGTCAGGGGCAGGCACGTGGGCTCCTGTGGTGTTTCCACGCTGAGAATCCCTCCAACCCCACACACTCAGGACATCCCTTTCTGCACGCTGCCATGGCCAGCTCCAAGCAGAGCTGTAGGAAGCCCAGGGGCAGCGCTGAGCCCCTGCTGTAGGACTGCATTCGCCAGGTCCCCACCCGGCTGAGCGCTCAGCGAGTCCTCAGGAATCTGCAGGGCACGTGAAGGATGCATTTCCTGGCAGAGGAGCAAAATGTGAACACCAGCACGTGCTTTTCTTAGCACCTGCACACACAGCAGAGCTTCCTGGGGTCCCTGTGGAGGTGGAGAGCAGGGCACGCAACGGGCAGAGCCAGCCGAAATAGCCACCGTGCCTCTGAGTGATGCAGAGCGAAGTGAGGAGCCTGCCCTGCACTCGGGACACCCCTGAGGCTCCATCCTGCAGCCTTCCCTCCTCCCTTGGGAGCGAGAGCACAGAGAAAAGAGTTTAAACTCACACCTCGCTAATTGTTATTTGCGCTACACCAGTAACATTTCAATTAATTTCGAGTCTTCGGCATAACAAGCACCTAAAGTACAAAGATGAACCAGAATAAACAGGGCTTGATTAAATACATAATTAATGTTCCACTAAAGCCGGCATATATGAATATTAATTAGCAGCAATGTTCTGCAGTTTGGCATCTCTTGTCATTATCAATTTATTCTTTACATCGCCAGCCCCAGCTTTGGAGCGAATTAGCAAACCTTTTGCTTGCCTGTGGAACCCAGCAAACACAAACCAAACGCAGGAGGCTGCTCCCTCCGTTCAATTACCTCGCCCGCACAGTAACTGGCATCCAGAGCGTTTGCCCGAAATGAAAGGCAGAGCACTGCCAAAACTAAAACGTGTTCACCCCTAACTGGGGCTCGGAGTAAATAAAAACAGCGCTCTGCTGGCCGTGGCAAGGGGGAGCGCACCCAGCAGGCTCGGATGTGCTCCCAGCCCTGCCCGGTCCCCCTCCAGCACCCCGTGCCCATGCTGAAGGAGAGCAGCTGATGCCCGGAGCTGGCAGCCACGGCACAGGTCTCACCTCGTGGGCAAAGCCGTGGCCGTGGTGCTGGTGCTGAGCCGCCTCCTCGCCGCACTGCAGCGGGCAGCGAGACGTCGTGGGGCTCCCCACGGTGCTGGGGAGCAGGGGGAGATGTGGGGGGGACCAGGACAAATCACTCAGGGCTTTGGTTTCCCAGCTAACCCCACAGTGCCCCAAGGAGCTGCGTGACTTGCTTTTAGCACCCCGAAGTGCTGGCGCCTTCCCAGGGCCAGCCCTTGTCCCTGTGGGAACCTAAAACCACAACCAGGGACGTGGCAGGGCTCAGGCTCGGGGGTAAAATGCTGCAGGGGAGCAGCATCCCCTTTCCATCTGCGTCCTCCTCACTGCAGCAACCAGACCATCGCTCAGCCCCGGGGATTTGCTCTGCGAAGAACTGGGGAGCGCAGAAAACCCTGGGAGCCCTCAGGGGGGGGCAGAGGTGGCAGCGCGAGCCTGTCCGGGAGGCACCGAGCAACCCAAATCCTGGGCTCGCACGGAGCAGCTCAGCCCGCGCCCTCTCGGCTCCTCGTGCTGCTCAGCCCGACACGTTAAGCACGGTGCCATTACGCTGTGGGAGCCCGCACTAATTATAGTGTCAGCCTTCCCGCTGCTGAGGATGGTAATTGAGGGAGAGCATTACAGTGTTTCCAAACCCCGCGCCGCAGGCAGAAGCCTCAGCGGAGCCGGGGAGTGCTGCCAGGAGCTGGTGGCACCGTGCTGGCAGAGCAAAAAGGCTTTAAGCAAGGGGCTGGTTCTGTCCCTCAAGACCCCACAGATCACCCCGAGGCTGAGACCAGCATCTGGTGCTGGGTGCAAGGCAACCCTGCTGCGCCCTAGACCCCGCTGCGCCCCTGACCCCGCTGTGCCGAGCCCCCCACGGGACGCAGAGGGTGAAGGACTGGGCTCAGGACCCGGTGCTCACTCAGCTCCCCGCACATAAATTTTTAACGCCGTGACCTTTCAGATGCAGGAGAATTTCTGAGGCTCTGCGAGAATCCGAGGGTGGCTTCGTGCTCCTGCTGGAGACGAAAGGTCAGCGTGGTGCCGCTGCAGCCGGCAGGAGCACGCTGTCATTAGCTGCCTGCCGCGGGTGACACTTTTTGTTCGCTCCTCCTCAAAACTTGCTTTTTCCTGCCACAGCGAAAGGAATCCCCAGCCAACACAGCCCCAGGCGGCGCGACGCGCACGCAGCCCGGCTCCTCACCCCGGGCTGCCTGGCACTTCATTTGCAGGATGAAATCCAATTACCGCTCCCTCGGTGCGGGCGCTTTCCCCCTTTTCTGTGTTTGTGTGCGGTTAATTGAAAGCTCCCGAGTTGTCTGCAGCAAGTGCACCGCGGGGCTGTAACTCCTGTAAGAGCCTGGGCAGCACGTGGGCTAAATGCAGGAGGAGCAGGAGCAGCCAGAGGGCTTGGGGACAGGGACACAGCTCGGCACGGGGCTCCTCTGGGTGCTCAGCTCTGCTGCCGAGCCCCCAGCAGTGGCAGCCACTGGTGAGCCCCCTGGGCACCCACCTCATCCCCTCCAGCCTCAAACTCAGCTCCAGGATCTCATCACGCTGTGAAAATGAGAACAGGGCCACTCTGCTCTGCTGCTTGCATGGGAAGGGGAAAACCCTGCTGTGGGCAGGGGCCGAGGGGCTGCCCGGCGTTCGCAGAAGGCTGAGGTTCTCCTCTGCTGTGCCCCTGCCTCCCCGGGCAATTCTGGAGCTGAATTAAGGCAGTTGAGCTATCCACACCTAATTACAAGAGGTTAAGCCTGGAGGTGCAGGTGTAGCCCGAAATCTCCTGGCACCGCTGCCAGCTGTCCAGGCAGTGAAAGCCACACGGGCGCCCCAAAACAGCACCAAAAGCTCCGGGAAGCGATCGGCGGCTGGAACGAAGCAATTATTGCCAAGAGCCGAGCGAGGCAAATCCAGGCTGGAAGGGACGGCAGCTCCTGAATGCTGGAGGAGAACGAACGCCCACGTTTCTCCCAGCCCTACAGAGCAGGCTGCCTGCTCCGTCTTTGTTTTGATTCCCTGCTGTCACTCCGAGCCGGGGGTGCCCTTGCGAGGGGAAACGCGGAGCTGGGAGCGCAGAGCGGGAGCTGAGCCTTCCCACCGCGGCTACAGCAGGGGAGCTGAGCCTCTGGTGGAATTTAAAGCCGGTGCCCTGGCACTGAATAAAAGTCACTCTCGAAATCAGAAAACACGAGGCAGCTGCCACCTTCCCTGCGCTGACGGAGGAGCCAGCCCCGTTCCCGAGCAGCTTGAGCTGATTGCGACAGCAGCCTCTTGGCCAACAAGCCACACGTTCACGTCAGCTAGGAAACCACAGCTCTTCAGAAGGCCCTCACCAAGTTTACAGACCCCAATTACAGACCAAAGCCCCTTCCCCTCCATTCAGGCTACAACCTGAGAGAGACAGAGCTGAGAGGGGAGGAAAAAAGGAGAGGGGAAGAAAGGGAAGGAGAGCAGGAGGGACGGGAGACAAACCCGCAAAAGCATTTGAATTGCCTGATATTGCTTTCAGCATCACCAAGAACTGGAAAGCAGCTGCATGTTCTCAGCTGTTATAAATTTATCTCATCTTGCACTGTTTTTTGTAGCCTCGGAGCCCAGCAGCCCGAGACTCCTGGCTCTGCAGTTTTCCACCTACTGGCGCACTCCGTCCCTTGAATACGAAAGCTGCGACTGTGCGTGTTCCCGCAGAGCAGGAGTGCTTTAAAATGCATCTCTTGCTGGTACACAAACCAGAAGAGAAATAACAGACCAGAATTTTATTGTCTTTCGGCGTCAGCTTTCTCCAAATGCTCTCAGATTTACAGTTCCTGCCCACCCCGGGCTGGCAGCGGAGAGCGAGGCTGCAGATGTTCGGGACGCACCGGCAAGCCCGCAAACCCTTCCCGAAGCCCCTCCTCGCACGGGGTTTTGCTGCCAAGACCCTAGATCGCTCCAGCCCCCTGCAAATAGCACAGCTCGATGTGACAGATCTCGGCAAAAGGCACCCTGGTGCTATCTGTGAGGAGGAGGAGGAGGAGAGAGGAAAGCAGGCGGCCCCGTGCCATCCCCCTGGGGTGGCACCAGCTCAGTGCCCCCCCTGGGAAGGGGCTGCAGGGACAGACGGACAGATGGACAGACAACTGGGCCTCACCTGGGATGTTGTGGATGGTTATAGCGAGGATCATCAGCAGAATTCGCCTCCAGCTGCTGCTGCTGCCCATCGGGGAGCTGTCCTTGGGCACGGGGAACGGCGGGGGGCCGTCGGGTGGGCTGGTCCCTGCGCCCTTCCTCCTCTGGTACGGCTCCCCGTTTTCACCTTTGTCTGAGGGTACAGAGAGACAGAGCTGGGTCAGCCGAGAGGGTGACAGACGGACGTCTCCTGCCTCCCCACCCAAAAGGAAAAAGCACAAAGAAGGAAAAACACCCACCGCAGCAGGGCCGAAGGAGCGCGCAAGGTGTCCCCCCGGCTCTGTGTCAGCTTAGGGCAGGGGGGTTCCCCCCGTGCAGACTGCAGAGCCCACGGGATGGTGGAATTTTGAGATGGAGCACAAATTTCTCCTCTTCCTACAGCTCCCCAGCACCGCCCAAAGGGCTCACACCCACCTGCAAAACCAGCGGCCCCCATCTCACAGGGACAAGGATGATGGTGACGGAGCCGGCGGGCAGCAGCTGGGGGACCCGCGGTCAGACCACGGCCACACCGTCCCCCTGCCCTGCCACCGCGCTCAGGCTGGCACCTCCATTTCCTCCACGGCCAAAGGAGAGCCCCATCCCTTCGTTCTGATTTCACCCTGCTCGCAGAACGGGAGCACTGAGCAGCATCCAGGATTATTTGTACCGCTACCAAACGCTCTGTCGTTGCTGTACATGGACACGCCAGGATCCCCCAGACCTCTGCTCCCAGCAGGACAATTACCATCAGCTCCATTTCAACCAGGTATTTAAACCAGCCACTTAAATCCAGGGCTAGGAAGGGTGGAAGCAGCCCCATGGAGCACTGCAATGAAGCTCATGGAGAACAAGACCCTCACCGCTCACCTGCGGCTTGGAGAGGCGAAGGGAGCCGCGGAACGACGCGCACGGGTTCCTGAACCTTACTCAGCACAGCTACGTGTAAAGAAGGTTTGACACTCAGACAATGTAATTCCCTCTCTGCAGATTTATGTAATTCCCTTCCCCGACTGCTCCCCTCCTGTCCCTTGACTCACCCACCCCGAGCCTCTTTTCGCAGGCACGGTGCAAGGAGCTGTCTGAAAGCGTTTTGACTGAGCGCCAACCCCTTCCCGTGCCATTTGCAGGCAGCAGAACGCCCCGCTGTCACCTCGCGCTGTGCAGAGCGTGCTTTGCAGTGCCAATTAAAACCTTAGCGTACGAGCACTCATGCAAATTGACACGCGGGGTCACCTTGGGGGAGCAGGGGTGGCGGCAGCAACTCGCGGCTCGCCACCTGAAACACAGAAACGGACACTTGAAGGCGTTCTGAAGCGGTCCTCAAAACACAGAAAACGAAATGCCAAGCTTCAAGCATCCGAGTGTTTATCACTTTTTGGCACTGAGGAAGCAGAGCAAAGGCTGAAAAACCCTGGGTCACGGCAGCAGGAGCTGGCGTGGCTGAAAAACCCTGGGTTATGGCAGCAGGAGCTGGCGTGGCTGCGCCACGGCACAACAGACCCCCAGCAAGGGGACAAGAGAGGCTAAAGCCCCTTGTGGATAAAATTTTCTTCTTCTGCCAGGCCATGGGTACTTGCACAGCTCGGCACACGTCCCCTGGATCCCACAAGGAGCCTAATCCACAGCAGAGCCCCTGGGGTGAAGGACTTTCCAGGGAGGAGGCAGAATGCTTTGGGTGATGTTTGGAGAAGAGCGCTTACATCCAAGCACCGAAATGCCACCCTTTGCAGGGTTTTCTCTGCAAAGGAAGAGGAGGCAGGAGGAGGCAGCCAGCACTGGTCCGGGTGCCCAGAAGTGCTCCGTGTCCCCAAGCAGCACGCAAAGCCCCGAGCTGGGGCACAGCTGCCTGGTGCTGCTGACACAGCCGTCAAAACCGAGCCCTGCAGCACACAGAAATGACGTGCGCCATCACCTAAATCCCCAGTGCCTGCAGCTGGCGGTTTATGGGGCTTTGTGCTGCCTGTCCTCATCCCCAGATTTGATGGGTTCACCACTAAACCGAGCTGTCCCCAAGGTCTCGCCCACAGCAAGGCAGAGCAGGGGTACTGCTGGTGCTTCACCATCACAGCAAAGGCTTTTCCAGTCCCCTCTTCCAGGCTTTGATCTCCGCTCCCTGGGTGAATTTTCACTGAGAAAAAAGCAGGTTTTGCTGAACGCGTGGCCAGGAGCACTGGAGAGAAGTCAGCAAGAAAGCCAGAAGTCAGCTCTGCTGGGCTTTGGTGGGCTGGGACCCCCAGCAGCGAGAGCAGACGGTTTCATCCCAGATCCCCAGGGGCCACAGGGGACCAAGAGCTTTGGGAACACCAACCCCAGGGTGCTGCAGCTGCCCCCACATCCACGGAGGAGCAGGGAGCACATGGCCAGCACGAGGCTCCTCGTGTAGCACCCCTGATAAGATTTCAGCTATTCCCACTCCGCTGACAGTTCCCGTTGAGTTCCTTTCTCACCATTATCGAGTTGCCAGAGGAGATTCATTTCACGGCTCTCGCTAATGAAAGCCAACGCCTGGGCCAGCTCCTTCGCTTACCACGAGCCCGCCGCCTGCTAAGATACTAATTCATTCCCAGCACAGAGCTATTACTTGCATTAGTTTTTTTTTTTTTTCCCCCACTTGGAAGCAGCTGGCGTGATATTATTGAACAAAAAATAAAACAAAAAGTTGATGGAAATCAGATTTCGTACGTGCACGTTTGGAGTTTGCTGCAAAATGGGCGAGGACCCCAGCCCCTTCCCTCCAGCCAGCAGAGAAAGGCTCTGACCAAGCATCCAGCCCCTTCCTCGCACCAAAACGTGACAAAAATCACACCTGCAAAAGGATCGTGGCCCCAAAGGGCTCGGCAAAGCCACGGTGCCCAACGGGGCGCAGTAGAAAAAAGGGGAAGTTTATGGGAAATCAACAAACCAGACCCAGCTTCTGCAGGAGAAGCACAGGGGGCAGTTTGCATTCGCCATCTGAGCAGCAAAACGACTCCATGCAAATTATCCGTGCATTAGCCCAGGAAAAGGCAGCGACGCCGCAATCAGGGAGGCGACCTGAGCACAATTTTCCCTGCTGATGTGTAACAGCAGGACCGCGGGCTGCATATGGCAGAAACCGTGTTTTATGTCCAATTGCAGCAGGGAAAAAGGGCTAATTACGGAGGAGCGATGCTCGGAGCTCGGTGCCAGCTCTGCGCCCACGGGTCGGGGAGGCAAAATACGGCACCCAAAGGGCTGCCAGCCTGAAACGCTGCAGCTTGGGCAAGCTCCAGGGAAGGGGAACAAAACAGTAATCGTGGCTAAGCGTGGGCTTGGCTGGAAGTCAGGAAAGCCTCAGCAGCACACTGGAGTAGTGATAAGAGTGGACCAAGGGAGGGGGGGTTCAAAGAGACACAAAGCTGACACTATCAGATCGGGGTCCTCGCAAGGACGGCGCCAAGACAATTATATGGCAAATAATTATCTGTGCCACATCCCTTCTAAATCTTGTTCACAAAAACCCCTCTATATATTCTACTCCATTTATCATTATTGAATTTCTTCGTAAAGCCACAGGGCAAAGACTCTGCCAGAAGTTTAATTACGTATGTGCAGCCTGCTGCATTTTTCATATCCTCTGCAGCCAGCACCGGAGCAAGATAAATGGCTTTGAGTACGGCTTAAACTGCTGGCAAAATACAAAATCCAACGGACTCCTTATCAACGTGTGAAACGGATTTTTAGTTTTGATTATTTCTTAATGAAAACTGCTCGCATTAGCGGCGAGCTCAGCTTTGTTGCGCTTGCGAGCGGCACGCACCCAGACGAGCGCACGACTCGCTCGCCGCACTCAGAAATCTCCTCACTGCACTACTTCAGCTCCTGAATTAAAATCAGAGCCCACGGAGGCAACAGATTCCTCTAGCTTTTCACATCTGCTTTGGAGACCTCCCCTTCTTCCTCCTCTCCAATTAGGCCTGGATGTAGCCGTGCTGCTCTCCTGCCGCAGCTCTCCAATGCTCTGCGCAAAGTTCAGCGCGCCTGAACGAGGGCGGCTGCCCAGAGCCCCCCTCTGCCCCACCAGGTTTCTGGGCGAGGAAAACCCATTTTCGTCTTGATTCAGCTGAAAATGAACCTGAAGCCAGGATGGCCCTGGGTGAGAGGCAGAGTGGCCCCAGGGAGCAGCACCCCCGGGCAGCGTATCAGTGCTGCCTTCCTGCTCCCAGCACGAGCTGCTGTCCTGGGGGAACCCAGAGCACTCAGAGCCTCCCTTGGCTGCAGATGCCAGAAGCCAGATCGTTTAGAGCACCAAAACCCTCTTCAATCTTTTCCCCATCGATTTCCCCATCAAATTCTTGCAAGGAGACTCTCTGCCTGGCCGGGCAGGGATCTATAGCTGTCAGCAACCAGAGCGCTGCAGACAAAGGAGGGACGGCTGCGCTTCCACGGCACCGGCACGTCCCTCACTGGGGGCTCCAGGGGGTTCTGCCTTCGGATTAAACTTGGATGAGATAAATCGGCACCCTCAGCACGGCTCTTTACAAAGATCTGTTAGCTCCCATCTCAAAACCTTGGGAGAAAAGATGGAGAGACAGAGCCAAGCCCAGGAGAGCCGCAGACTCGTTAAAGCCGTGACGAAGTGCCACTCGCAGGCTGTTCACACAAGTTGTTTCATGTTAACCTGCACAGGAACAGGGTGAAGGGAGAAAAGCACCAGAGGAAACACTCATTTCAGAAGCCTTTACCCTGCCACATCTCTCTTGCTGTCTCATCTACTCCTACAAAGCCCAGCACAGCCGCACCTGCACGAGCAGCACACATCAGCCCAGCCCGACACCGCGCACCTCTCATCACTTCCAGCTCTTGTTCTGCTGCATGAGCTGGAAACGTGCATTTTGTGCTGGAGCGGCTCTGCTAAAACCAGGAGAGATGAGCAAGCTTGTTCTGACCCTTCGTCTGGGGGTGGGCTGGGAAAGAGAGAACAATTTGCTAAAGGAAACGATAACACAAGCGGCTGCCATCCCTTCCCGAGGTGCAGGAAATAACGGCACGTTCAATTCTCTCCCCTAATGGCTGAGATAAATCAGGATTACTCGGAAATTTCGGAGATTCCCAAAGGCCCGGTAGCCAATCCAAGCCCCTCACATGAACGTTTGCCCGTGGAGCCATTAACATCTCTCACTCCCCGAAGCC